CAGACATCAAAGACCCATAAAAAAAAATCTTATCATTGTGAATGAGGGGGAGTACAGGGTGGAGACCCAAAGCCCATCTGTAGGCAACTGGGCATCCCCTTACAGAAGGCTCACAAGAAAGAGACAAGCCAGTCAGGGTGCAGTGAAGCAACGATGAAACATACAACTTTCCTCTAGTTCTTTAATGCTTCCTCCTCCCCACTATCATGACCCCAATTCTACCTCACAAATCCTGCTAGCCCAGAACATGTACATTGGTACAGATAAGAGCTCGCAACACAGGGAATCCAGGACAGATAAACCCCTCAGGACTAATAATGAGTAGCAATACCAGGAGGGTAGGGGGAAGGTGGGGAGGAAAAGGGGAAATCTATTGCAATGATCGACATATAACGCGCCCCCCACCAGAGGAATGAACAACAGAAAAGTGAGTGAAGGGAGACAGCGGACCATGTATGATATGAAAATAATAATTTATAATTTATCAAGGGTTCATGAGGGAGTGGAAAAAAATTAGGAGCTGATACCAAAGGCTCACGTAGAGAGAAAATATTTTGAAAATGATGGCAACATATGTACAAATGTGCCTGACACGATGGATGTATGGATTTTGATGAGCTTTAAGAGCCCCCAATAAAATGATTAAAGAAAAAGACAGTGTATGTGAAAGGCATGCATACTGTTTTAAAGCTGCTTACTGTCAGAGGCAGGGGATTTTATATAAGCTTTCGGAAGTGGTAAATCTTTATGGTTTTCCCCAACTCCGGAGCTGCTGGTGGGTTTGACCCATTGACCGTTGAATAAGCAGTCCAACGCCTATCTGGCTGAGCTACCAGACCTCCCTGCTTACAGAGAGAAACTTTTATCTCTATTTTTGATTGCTTCCCAGGACCACTGGAAGTACTGATTTGCCCATTTTCAATCCCCTCTTCACTTTCTGTTCGCAGTTGACTGAGTCATGCATCCAATATGACTCCTATTGAATGTCTACACTTGCTCCCCGTCTCTGATTTGCAATGTTGGGGAATTTCCTGAGAGAAAAGAAAAAGGAAGGAAGGAAGGGTGATGGAGGGAGGGAGGGAAAAATTGTCTATCTTTTAAAAGCTGCTTTTCCTAACGTCCTGACCTAAAACAAAAAATCTCCCCGCCTACAGCATGGACATGCTCCCAGCTGTGGATTGAGAGAATCCAGTCCCTTTTGCACACCCATCTCCGAAACGTCACTCCTATAGTCTGAGCGCCTCCTTTTTAGGAAGCCTTTCCGTTTGCTCTCGTTTGCACTTCAGTTGCATTTTCCAGTTCTCTATCTGCCCCAAGAATATCAGTGAGAAACTCAAAGAGATCAAAAGAGTTATCACAGTTTTTAGAGGCTTCTGACAAGGTAGGTCAACAAGTATAAATTTATTATAAATCATAGCATATGTACATAAATGACATGGTTGATTTAAAAATATAAAAATGTACCACATTTCCCCGAATTTTAAATTCAGTAATAAAAATGCCCAGCTTCCTGTTCCTACATTGTATTATAAAAAGATGCCAGTTTTATGGGTCTTTCTTGGAAGATCACATTCTCAATTTATACCGAGGTATATTATTCACAATGCACAGAATCAAAGTCACGCCATGTAGCTGTAACGCAGTGAAATAACGTAGATCACAGGCTTCAAAGAGAAAGCTAGCCATTGTTATAACACCATCTTCTAAAAATTAAGTAATTGTGAGTTCCTAGTTGTAATTGTCACATAGAAACTTTGCGCTCAGGGCCTCGTCACGTGTGCAGCTTTTCTCTATTCAAAGCAGGAAGACATTTCACAAGTGTAAGGTAGAAGGAAGTCCAGGGAAGGTTGAAGGCCTTCGCATGCCCTGGTCATCTGATGTTGGTCCTCAGGCTTACCAGTCTACCCACTGGAAAGGGGGTAGTGCTGGTTTCTCAAATCGCACTCAAGTTCGAATAGGGTTAATCTAATTTCCAATTGCTGAGATTCAGTTTAGCGAACAATGTTCTAAAACATGATGAGATCAGGCATTTCAATCAATATGGAAAACAAGGAAAGCAATCATTTATTAATTGGGCCTCTCAATATATCATTATGCATTAACTTTAAAATACTACTTCACACTTTCTCAGGGCTAGAAACATAATTCAAATTTTTGTAAATGTATATTAAATCAAAACCACTGTAGGCAGTTCAGGGTATCATTGACAGAGTTCATTTAAGGAGACAGTGTTGCCATTGTGCTACTATTCCCACATGATATCATCTTTTCTCAATTTCATTTGAAGATTATGGACTCGTTTTGGATGAAAGTTGCTGCTTTTCGGAAGCGAGCTAGTTTCATGACAACATTTTCTACAGCTACTTTTTATGTTCTTTGATCCTGTAGGGCTGCTATCTTCTCGCTGAATACCTGAAGCATCACTCATCTTTGCGTTTTGAAGCTGTCGCTGCATCTTTCGGACCTGGAGAGAAGACAAAAATCTAAAATTTTAGTTAACAATGGACTAAAAGTTATAACCCCAAATATATGGATTGGATGGAAAGCTTAAACATAAAATTAAAATTTTAACATAAAATTGAAGCTTAGCTCATTAACCTTTTCTTTATTGAGCAGCCATTATCTGTCCAACATTGTGCCCATCAGTAGAAATATGATGAATAAAATAATCTTTGCTCTAAAGGGGCTTATTACTCTTATTAGTGGGGGACAAAGTAGATATGTGACAGCTTGGTAATAAATAACTCAAGCCAAGAAACTGAGTTAGACAAAAAGTGTGTATTAGAGAAAGCCAAAGCAGTGTAAGATCAATGTGGGCTGGAGAAGTTGGGGGGGAAGGATACAACAGGAAATAGGAAAAAGAAGATCCTTTCAGAAACTGTTAGCAGCAAAGCAAACGACTGTTGCTTGGAATGAGTATTGAGGTTATACAATTGAATACACATATATATGTCCATACATATACACATATATTTGAATACATTCTTGCCAATTTATGATTATACTTGCCCTTTAATATTATGTAAATATGCTTTCCCTTGGAAAGAATTGAGACCCAAACTAAAGCCTACATCACAATCACCTTGACTTGCTTGAGCCTTCAAACCTTCTCTTGCACTAAAAACCCAACCCAATCCAACTCACTGCCATGGAGAGGATGCAGATTCAGCAACCCTACCGGACAGGGTAGAACTGCCTGTGCTTCTGAGAGTGTAACTCTACCCGAATAGGAAGCCCTAACTTTCTCTCTCGGAGGGGCAACAGTAACCACTATGCCATCAGGGTTCCTTTCCTTGCCCGAAAGGAAGGCTAAATGAGAACCACACGTCACTGATTCATGTACCAATTTGTCTGAAAGCACACTTCAGAACCAATCCTGTTCATTACTCAGTACTTGTTTGTAAGCCGGCAATGCTGACTAACAGTAAAATAAGAGTGGAGGGGATTACCTGATTTTTTTTGAAGAGTGTCTTGCAATAGTTGAGTAGATAGAGTTAAACAAAACTCATCAACCAACCAAAACTCATTTCTTCAAAATCTATCCCATTGCCCAGTCTAATTCGCTCATGTATAGGGCTCTGGGAAAGATCGAATTTGCAGTGCTGGTTTAAAAGTTGGGTCAATACCTGGTGCTTTATTTGCCTGAGAGATACTTTTTAATGATACATATTAAATGTATCATGACAGAATGCTTGGAAATGTATGTTCTAGGAGCTATTATGAAGCATGAATCATATTTCTCAAAACACAATCTGTATACAAAGGGCCTTCAAAACATGTGTAAAATGTAAAAAGTTCCATTATCTATTCTACTTTTCCCATAAAGTTGTTGAAGCCCCCATGTACAGCCTGACTCAATTTAGAAAACATTCTCTATTCCTGTTACTCTTATGCATCCCCAAAAATACACATGTTGTATAATCTTCACCAAATACCACTACACAGAAACATTATTTCCTATAGCCTTAAAAGTTAATAAACTAAAAATATTTGCTTCAAAATGTTCATGTACTCATTTACCGGTCATTTTAGGAATAAAGGCAGTAAACGTCTGCCTCTTTTAGTACTTTCCTATACACAAGGGGAGGCTTCCTTAAGGTTAAGAGCATCATCGGCGGTGAATGCTGCTAAGAGCTGCTAATGCTGACAGGTAGAACAGGCAGCTCCTCGGGGCGGGGCTGAAGTCTCCTGAAAGGGCTTGCTCCAGACTCAAGCTAGGAGCCACTGACTTGGGATAAAGCATTATACCTCATAATTCTTCTGTTAAAATATTAAAACTACGAAGCTAGTTTTAGTTACTAAGACTTCACACACAAGCAGAGCCTCCCACCGAAGCTGAGCACAGGCCCGAGGGAATGTGATACAGCACAGCTTGTTTGGGGAAAGAAGGAAGTGTGGGTTAAGGACTGAGTACGCTGGAAGAGCCAGGTGATCGTGTGGTACTACAGTAGATACCGGCCAGCATTAGGGGCATCATTAAGGCATTAGAGCAGAGAAGGATAAAGGAAAGAGAATGCTAGAAGAGTACCTTGGAAGGTTGCAGGGGCAAATTTAACCCACCTCACAATTTCCCCACCGCCAACTCTGAACACAGGACTAAACATGGCTGTTCCTTCTCCTTTGTGACCTTGGAGCACGGTGCGGGAGCTCACGCAATGCCAAAGGGACTGAAGGCTCTATTCTATAACGGTTCTAAGCCATGGCTCCTCTTGTCTTTCCACTAAACCACATGTAGCCCTCAAATTTGACAGGTCATACAGAGATAACACTGAATCCACAAATAGCACCTTTTATTAAACTCTTTTATTAAAGCCTTCTTACACTGTCTTGATGCTTCTTCAGTTTGGAAATCTGTTCTCCTTTAACTTCCATTTTCTTGACTAAATGCTCTAGTTCACTTTCTATGTCTTCATAGATTAAATGGTTTTGAGTCTCCCTCATCTGATTCAGTAGTTCTTGTTGCTCCCTATGAAAGAAAAGCAAACATCAAGCATTATTATAGTGTATGATATAGTCTGGTACAATTCTGCCATAAAAAAATTTTCTGAACACAAAAATTTTCTGTTCAATCATAAATTTTAGAGTTAATTATTAATCTTCAAAGAGCATCTCCTTACTCCCCGCAAACCCCTCCCCCCCCCAAACCAAACTCACTACCATTGAGTTTATTCTGACTCAGAGTGACCCCGTAGGAAAGAACTGCACCTGTGAGTTTCCAAAACTGTAACTCTTTACCAGAGTAGAAAATCCCATCTTTCTCCTGCAGAGCTGCTTTTGGTTTTAAACTGCTAACTTTTCATAATCAAAGCATAACTACTACAGTACCAGGGTTGGAAGCCTGGTGGGATGAGTTATGTGTTAGGTTACTATCTGCAAGGTTGGTGGTTCAAACACTTCATATCTGCTCTGTGGAAGAAAACTGAGCCTGTTTGCTACTGTAAAGATTTAGTCTCAGAAACCCTATACACGGTTTCTGTGAGTCAGAATTGACTCAAAGGCAAAGGATTGGCTGTTTTTGTCTGGAATTAAATCTATAGGGGGAGTGGTGGCACAGTGGTAGAGACCCTAGTTCAATTCCCAGCCATTGTTTTTCAGTCATTACCCATCTGTCAGTGGAGGCTGACAGTGTTACAATGATGCTGAACAGGCTTGTGAGGAGTTTCCAGAATAAGAGGAACTAGGAAGAGTGGCTTGGGAATCTATTTATGAAAATCAGTCTCTGGATTCAGCAGTCTGATCCACAACCAATCATGGGGATGGAACAAGTACCAGGCATTTTATTCAATTGTACATGGGTTTGCCATCAGTTAGAAGCCAACTCAATGGCAGCTACCAACAACAATTAAAATCTATGGTAAATAGGTTCAATGAATTACATATGCTTCCTCTAACCACAGTCTTACTGGAAGCACTCAATTGTTTGTGCCAAGAAATTTAGAAGACAGCTACTCTGCCAACTGAATGGCAGAGATTCACATTTGTACACATTCCAAAGAAAGGTGACCCAACAGAATGTTCAAACTACACAGCAATATCATTGATAGTGCACACAAGTAAAATGTTGCCGAAGATCATCCAACAATGATTGCAAAAAATACATCGACAGGAACTTTCGGAATTATTGTTCAAGCTGGATTCAGAAGAGGACATGGAACAAGGGAGATCATTACTGATTGATGTCAGATGGATCTTGGCTGACAGCAGAAAATACCAGAAAGATGTTTACTCATGTTTTATTGATTACGCAAAAGCCTTGACTGTGTGGACCATAACAAACTGTGGACGGCCTTGAGAAGAATGAGAATTCGGGAACACTTCATTGTGCTCATTCAGAACTCGTACAAGGATCAAGAGGCAGCTAGCTGTGCACACAGAGCAAGAAAATACTGCAGGGTTTAAAATCGGGAAAGGTGTGAGTCAGGGTTGTATGCCCTCACCAGACTTGTGCAATCTGAATGCTGAGCAAATCATCAGAGAAGCTGGCTTAGAGGAAGAAGGGTTACTAACAAACTGCTACATGCAGATAACACAGCCTTGCCTGCTGAAAGTGAGAGGAATTAGAGCACTTCTTCAGCCTTCAGAACGGATTATGACTCAATGTAAAGAACAAAATCCTCACCACTGGATCAGTAAGTAACATCATGATAAGTGGAAAAAAGTTGTCAAGGATTTTTGTCTTGCTTAGATCAATTCTCACAATCAATGCTCATGGAAGCAGCAGTCAAGAGATCAAAAGATGAGTTGTATTAGGTAAATCTGCTGCACAAGGCTTTTTCAGAGTATTATAAAGCAAGAATGTTACTTTGAGGACTAAAGTATACCTGACCCGAGCCACGGTATTCCCATCGCCTCATATGCATGTGAAAGTTGGACAATGAATAAGAAAGACCAACAAGGTATCAATGCAATTGAATTGTGGTGCTGGAGAAAAATACTTAAAGTACCAGGACTGCTAAAAGGACATACTGTGTCCTGAGCATATCTGACCCTACATTTTAACCTGTTAGCTTCCCTAATAGTCTATAATCTGTGAGTTTTCATTTTGGTCTGCTTCAAATGAGCAATTAATCGTCTGTTCTGCTGTTGGCTAAGGTCTTGTTCTGATTGATGATATAGAGCTTCTCCATCATCTCTTTCCACAGATATAACTGATTTGATTCCATCTGGTGAGGTCTAAGTGTCTAGCTAGCTGCTGTTTATGTTATTGAAAAAGAGTACTTGCAATGAATGAATGGTTGGTCTTGTAGAGTTCTACCAGGAGATCTCTGGTGTCATTTCTATCACCAGTACAGTATTTTCCAATGACTGCTTTCTTCTTTGTTTCCAATTTTTGCAGTCCAATCACCAATGCATCTTGATGGCATGCTTGATCCATTTCAGATCACACAAGTTGGTAAAAGTATTGAGTTTCTTCATCTTTGGTCTTAATGGTTGGTTTATAAGTTTGAACAATAGACCTAATATCTGGTCTTCCTCGGAGGCACATGGAAATTATGCTAACATTGACAGCATTGTACTCCAGGATAGATCTTGAAACATTCTTTTTAACAATGAATGTGACTGCATTCCTCTTCGTTTTGTTATTCTTGGTATAGCAGGCTGTCTGATTGCCTAATTCAAAAGAGCAAATGCTCATGATACTGTTATTCTAGCTTATGTAGTTTTTGACCACTTCCAATTTTCCCAGATTCACACTTTATATTCCACATTCTGATTATTAAATGAATGTCAGCCATGGTTTCTTCTCATGACATAGTGACATCGAGTTTAAATTTTAAATAGTAATAAAAATGCAAGGGAAAAAATCAGGGACAATAAATCCACATATCAGATTTAAATATGTGTAAATGGCCAAAGCAGGCCATTAGCATTTTAGAAGCAGGAAAAAAAAGCTGTCTAATTGTTTTCTACATTTCCTTGGTAAAGAATAAAAACACTTACGTATTCATTTGTTGCAGCTCCGCTTGCATTGCCATCAAAAGTTCTGACAAATGGTCACAGATGGTAACGGACTTTTCTGTGTCAGAAGATACAGCTTTAGCGTGGGGCTTACAGGGACATCGAAGCTCAGTCGCTTTGGAGTGTGCCTGGAGGGGGTGGAGGCCACGAGCTTGCATCATCTGCAGGAGGTTTTGCATACTTGAGTTCACACTACAGCTTGAGCTGACAGGCTTAAGAGGAAAAGAAAGAGCTGAGCACAGTTTCAAATGACTGAGGGTACTTAAAATACCATTTATAATCAAGCAGGAGGTGTTTTTGAGCCAGTATATTCACTATGTTGTCCCTACCTTCCCAGGCATGAAAGACATAGGTGCTCCAAACTTTGAATAACTTTGCTGAGTTAGTCCTCTCTTTAAAGATTTAGTTTTCTGAAGAGTATAAGAGAAAAAGCAAACAGAAAAAAAATTACTTTGAAAGGCATTTAGGATATAAAAAATTCTGAAAACTCAACAGCCAGGCCAAGGACAGGGGCAGACATCTCCTTGATGAGGAGATACAAGTGACAAACATATGAACAGAAACTCAACACCATTATCCATTAGGGAAATACAAACGAAAACTCCACTCACCATGCTCAGATCAGAATGGCCCAAATAAAAATAGGGACAATCCAAAATGCTGGTGAAGATGCAGAAAAATGGATCGCTCAAACATATTTGGTGGGTTGTAACATAGTACAACCATGCTGGAAAATGCAGTTTCTCATGAAACCAACCATCTAGGTTAAGCATATGACTCAGCAATTACGCTCTTGGGTATTTAGCCCAAAGAAATGAAAACTGTGTGGACACAAAAACTTATACACAGATGTTCATAAAAGCTGTATTTGTATTAGCTCCAAACTGAAGGATGAACCCAAATATCCTTCATTACGTGAATAGCTAAACATAGAATGGAAACATAGGAAAAAAATATCATGAAAAAGTTCCAGGAATTCGTTGAAGCCCCCTCAGTACTCTGTTACACTCACACCATGAAATACTATGCAAAAATTAAAAATATATATATACTGATACATATAATGGCTTAGATTGCTATGGATTAAAACAAAGGAACAAACTCAGAGCCATCGAGTTGGCGTCCACTCATATTGATCCTATAGGACAGGGTTAGAACTAACTTTCACGTTAGTTTATTTATAAGAGTAGAAAGCCTCGTCTTTCTCCCAAGGAGTGGCTAGTGGTTTCAAATTGCTGACCTTGCTGGTACTAGCCCAAAGCGAAACCACCACACCACCAGGAGCTCTCTCCAGGAACTTCGGTGCGTGAAATAAGCCATTCCCAAAAGGTCATGTACACTATGATTTCATTTATATAACCTAGTCAAGTAACAAAATGATGGGAGGTGGCAGAGCATGTCCAAATGACACCGCAAGTGCGAGCCAAAGGCTGATGGTGTGAACCATCCAGAAGGACAGTGAAAGGCAGACCACGCAATCTGCTTCCAGAGGGCACAGCCTCAAAAACCCAATGGAAATAGTTCTTCTCTGAAATACACATGGTTTTCCGGAGTTGGAATAGATTAGATGGCAATCAACAACAGCAAGAAGAAGCCAGTCCCAAAAGGTTGTGCACTATATTATCCAATTTATGTAATATTGTTGAAGTTAAAAAAAATTATAGAGATGGAAAAATTAGAAGTTGCCAGGCTTATAGTTAGGGCCTGGGGAAATATGGTTGTAATGAGGTGGCAGAAGGGAGCCTTGAAGTGATCAATTTGTACCTTGATTGTGATCATGATCATATTCATCTACATAGCAACTTTTTAAAATCCGAAGAATAGTAAATGAAAACTTAGAATTGTGGGTACCCTTGGACATGCAATTTACGAGGGGTACATGTGAGGCTTCTACAACAGTGGTAATTAAGCAGCGTGTTGAGCCTATCACTGCTTAGCTTATGCTTCTTTTTTTTTAAATCGTTTTATTAGGGGCTCATACAAGTCTTATCACAATCCATACATACATCAATTGTGTAAAGCACATTTGTACATTCATTGTCCCCATCATTCTCAAAACATTTCCTCTCCACCTAAACCCC